TGCAGAGGCTGGAATTCTGATCAAACTGGAAAGCACCTCTGGTGCTGGTGGGGGAGCACGTGTAAACGCCGAGGGCCAGGACTCCCTGGAGTCATTTCAGGAGTGTTGCGATGATCTTCAGCGCTCTGCGGAATGTCTCTACGCGCAGGCGGAGAAACCATTCTGTAGGTCTCAGATCCCGTTCTCCCCATTGTTAAACTTTTTGCTGCCCTAATTGCTACTAATGCTTATTATAACAGTGCTTTTAATGGGAATGGTCTTGAGAATGAAGATGACAGGGCCGATGCAGTCCACGCATCCGTGGTCTTCTTACTTTTTCGCGTCGGGTAGTTTAACTTTTTCGCATAATTTTCCTCATGACGAATAGCCACAGTTGATCTCTTACTATCAATTATAAGTTCAAATTACCTTCAGCGTAGTCAAGTTGTCATAACTCTGTCTACCGACCGAAACATGCCTTTCCGTAGCCGAGGTCTCTTGAAAGATTTCGACGCAGTTGAAATACGCAACTTCTGCTGTGTGTACATTAGCAAATGCTATAGAACGGCTTTCGTGATTCGTGCTTCTATCAAAAGCTGCATCAACGCGTTCAAGTCTTAGTTAGTTTCCCTCACACGATTGTTGAAATTCAGAAAATACAGAAGATTATGTTTCCAGTAAAATCATCTTCAAGAATTGGTTACGTGACCTTTTGTGTGCTGCCACTCTCACAAAGATTAATTGAGATAAAATGCCGTTGACGTTCATGGCGAGGACACATTTTTAAGGAATGTTGAATTCCACCTACTGCTGATATTCAGAAGAATAGTTTACTGTGTGGACACTTTAAAATTTTCAAGAGAGTACAATTTTCACACGCGTCAAGAATGAAGGTTGATATACGACTCATGTGCGCATGTCGCTCATTACTATCAAATTGAGCTGAAAAATTGTTGCATACATACTTTACATACATGTTTACTTATCCTTCAGTCCTGTAGCGTCCTAAGTAGTGACTGCTCAGATCACTACAGTCGTCAGACCGAAAGTATAACGCAGAAGACACCTGTATGAGAACTTTATTGTGTACAAAACTCCCAGCTGCTTTCTCAGAAGGCTGGCTAGTAGCCCTTGTTGGTTCAGGAGCCTCGCCGGGTGGGCCTCAATCCCGGCAGCGAGGAGCAGGAGTCGGAGCAGCATGGTCGGGAGGGGCTGTTCCGTCATCAAAACAGAGATGGAGAGGAGGGGAGATAGATCCATCGTAGGGAGATTGGTGTAGCAAACCTTGGTCGCCGTGAGGGCGAGTGGAAACGCGACGCAGACGCGTCTGCTGTGGTTCCCTCTCTCAGAAGGCAGTGGCCACTGGCGAATTCAGGGCTAGTGTTGACTACGTCCAGCCAGACCCGAGAAAGAATGAGGCAATGGTGACAGTTGCTTAAGTAAGATTGCGCTGCGGGTTCAAGTGTTCTCCAATTGGTGCGTGTGACGTGTCTGATGACGTAGGCTCTATCGGCCGAGGGTGAGAGAAAGGGACATGTTCAAGTGATGTTTGGGCAGTCGTGTGTGGAAGTCGGTCAAGTGACTGTAAGTCAGCGCGTCTGAAAGCGCTCACTGCAATATTGGATGACCTTGGAGCAGCTGGCCTTGAACAAGCACGCCGGAGAAAGCAATGTTGGGCGTCGGCTACAGTCCCGAACTGGGCAACCAGCTTAGTTTGGTGCTAGCAGAACGCAGGTTCTCTCGCCCAGCTATGGCATAGTTCATTAAACGGGTTACTCTCTGCAGTCTTAGGTCACTGGCGTTGGACTGTAGGTGCCTCTCTTTGGCGTACTGGGCAAAACTCCTAGCCACCTATAAGACAACAACCTTCATTGAATCACATGTCTCAGTGGTAGTTAAACCTGCAAATACACCTCCACTGCGTATACGCCACGATGTCTTCCTGGTTGGATTTTGGTGCAGAGTTGTAAGGCTGCCACACCCACTTGTATGTACGCACCATTTTCCAAACATAAAGCAGGACTAACTACATCTCTTTTAGCTCCTGAGCAGGAAAAAATGGAACAAAAAATGGCCCAGGAGATATCGCAGAACCTGGCCTACCTCTGGCATTGTTTGCAGTTTGGTCTGGTTCGTCAGGTGGCCGACTTCTTCACTGATCTGATGGGACCGATCAAACACCTCCAGGAGGTCGCCTGTCCTCCACCCGGTGAACCCGTCAACGAAGAGGCCTACCGGATTGCCTCGGATACTTTCCTCGTAGGTTTACTTTCCTCTGCTATAATTGCTTTTTCCCTTTTATCTATCATGACCCCAAAGTTGGTTTGGTGGTAAGTTATGGGAAGGTTATCTAGAAGCTTCACTTCTGGTTCTCTTTTGGAATTCCTTCGCTACGCATACTTGCTTTCTCCCAGCTCTGTCAACCAAGTTTTATTGATACTGCATCCGAAGCTATGTCTGTCTTCTGGTCAAAGACGGACCGTCTGCAGAGCATTAGATTTTATTGAGAAGGACTATTCGTACGAATGCCATCTTTGCTTTAAGCCGGTTCTCTAGTCCGTGCAGTTTTCAAAACAGAACCTGGGTCCTACGAATCCTTAGAGCAGAGGTCGAGAATCTTTTTGACTGAGAGAGCCAAGGACACAAACAATTGGAAATATGAATTGGAAAATCGGCATCCCAAGATGTATAATTATGTAGAAAAAGCACTTTGGGAAACGATAGTTTATTAGGTGAATTTTCGAAGCTGGAACCCCAATTCGTCTTCAGACGTAGAGAATGTGCCAAAAAAGGCTAACAGCTAACACCGGGAGTTCGTGGGAAAATCGATAATGCCGTAGCGTGGCCCTTGTCACTTGTCCGAAGTCGCCATGCGCACGTTAGAAACTGGACATCAATTTGCATGGGACGAAACCCGCATTGTTGGCTCTTGTCCATACAAGAAAGGCCGCTAATTTCTCGAAGCTATGCCCTCGGAAGCGCAATGCAAAACAGGCACACCGAATTGGAATCGTCGTTCCGAGGCCTCAAGTAGAAGTGGGCGAGACGCGAGCCAATCCGAACGGAATGAAAAGCACGGCAACAGGGTACTGGTGCAAGCGCCACGCTACGGCATTATCGATTTTCCCACGAACTCTCGATGTTAGCCGTTTTCGGCACATTCACTTTTCTCTAAGTCTGAAGACGAACCGGGTTTCCAACTTCGAAAATTCACCTAATAAACCATCGTTTCCCAAAGTGCTTTTTCTACACAATTGGAAATATATTTCAGTAAGAGCCATATAATATATTTTAAGACTGAATTCAATTAAATGTTAGTATACTAAGCTCGTGGATTTATTCTTTTAATAATAATAAATCACAAAATCTGAAGTTTCTAATTCCACTTTTATCTGAGAGAGCCAGATGCAATCATCGAAAGAACCACACCTGGCAAGCAAACCATAAGGTCCCGACCCCCTGCCTGTATATACGTATTTTCTGGCATGAATATAGAGAATTAGGCAACACCAACAAACTTTGCAAGCCGGACCAGTTCACAATCACTCTCTTATTTACCATACAGGAACTAGCTTTCAGTATGATAAATAAGTAGATAGCTGCATACTACTGACTGCCCGTTGACAGTTTGTGACTATTACGAAGAAGCTCACATTATAATTTTGGACCGAACCTCAAAAAAGTAGTTCCGAAGGGCAAGATTCACAATCATTAAAGTACACATATACTTAAAAACATGTTTTAAAAGCTTTGGTTTGAGATCGAAGTATACCATACTTTCAACTGCCATGGGTCAAAGTCTAACGCCCCGGCAACATTCACACATGACGTGTGGCGCATAAAAGTATTCGCTACTTTGTACAACTAACCGCCTAAGCCCGGACACGTATTCTGCCGGTCCTCCATGGTCACACTGTACGACTGCGAGTGTCTGTAGATCATGAATGGCCATCAAGACGTGCGGCACAAACTGAGGCAGAACAGGCCTGCTGCACTTAAGAGGCGCCCACAAAATGTGTGTGGTCGGCCAGCACACCCGGGATCTAGTCGCCAGTTGGCTTGGCTTTTCGTTGCCCTCTGGTTCGTGATGGGAGAGTAGACAAGGACAGTGGCGCCGGCGATCAGTAGAGTAATTGCTCACTTTCCAGGCTTGCTATTTTAACAGTAGTTGGTATGTTTGTTTTTCGCAGTAAATGCGCGAACTCCTAGCAGTTGTCTCCTGTTGATAAACTGTGTCCTAGCTTTATTCGATTGACTGAAGTTAATTTTAGTTTGTTTAGCTATCGGCTGTGGATATTTAATGTGCTTTAGCCGTGTCGCTCTTTTTGTGTGAACTGACTCGAGGCGGTTGAGCTGGGCATGAGATTACCTACCCGCCTGTTTAGCCATACAGGGAGGTCATGTGCTTTTGATTTATCGAATAAATAATTAACTGTGGTCATTACAGACCGTTGGTTTTTTCCCAGTTATGAATGCCGCGCATGGGTAAGAAGGACTTATATGGCCGCCTAAACAGAACGCGGCCAGAACAGAAACCACTCGCAATTCATGTAACTTTGCACCAAATGCCGTGAAGTTGGATTTAGGCTTAAGGTGACAGTTAGCGTAAGGTTTAGAGTTAATTTTAGGCTCAGAGTTGGGGTTGGGATTTGGATTATGTCAAGGGTTAAGGTTTGGGATCGTGCTACCTCTAGGGTCTATGTTTAGGGAAAGGGGCTAGGGTTTAGATTAAGGGAACCTTTTAATTTTATGTTAGGGTTATGACATGAGGATATTTGACCTTCGAGAAATTTACCACTAGGCCACCTATTTTACGTGGACAGGGCGTTCCTATTACCGTATCCTGTTTAGGTGGTCTTCAAAGCAAGCTTATACAGCAGGAATTATTTGTATAAACAAATTTACAGACAGCTTTTCAATTGCTACCTGTCTTTGCATGAGATAGATAACGAATGTACTACACAACGATTTAAAGTTGCGCAGAATCAATACATAACCGCAAGATCATTGAGAAGAAGATGACTCGATCGCTGGGACAATACGTTTACTGGCCTGAAATTTCGACATCCGTCGCGATCCCGTACGTTAAAGACGTCTGGGAGGCTGTCGGCCGCCCTCTTGCACCACTTGGAGTTGGAGTCGCACACAGGCCGGAAGCAACCATAAGGCGTCAGATAATGAGACCAAAAGACTCACTGCCACGGCAAGAAACATCTGGAGTCGTCTATAGGATCTGGTGCAGTTGCGGGCAAAGCAATTTTGTCGGAGAAACTGGCAGACTTCTCAAGGCACGAATTGCCGAACACGCAGCACGTTCATTGTTCAACGCGACGAATAGTCCATAATAATTTTGCCTTTGAACTTGAAATGGAGGAAGGAAAACGCAATTGGCGGTCAGGGCAGCTGAATATTTACTCAATTTGCTCTTTAAGCAATAAAACGAAGTACCACGGTCCTCCATTACGAAACACCTACTAGACAGTGGTCACTCTGTTGACCTCAAAACATCCTTCCGAGTACTTGTTCGAGCCCGAACAAATCGGACCTTGCGCAGCACGGAAGCAGCCTACATCCAGCGGGAGAAACCCGACCTATGTAAGCATGTGGCTAATATACAACTGCTCTGATAATCGCAGGCCTAGATTTGATCTAACTTTCATTGGCAGGAGTTTCCTTGGTAGTGCACATATGTTCTTATTTATATTTACATGCCTACCACATTAATTTCTGTTAGGGTTAGGGTTAGGTTTATGGTTAGGGTAAGGGTTAGGGTAAGTGTTAGGGTTAGGTTTATGGTTAGGGTAAGGGCTGGGGTCAGGGTAAGTGTTAGGGTAAGGGTTATGGTTATGGTTAGGGTTAGGTTGGGATAGTGATATCGCATGTAAAAAGCCTCAAGTTTCTGTCTTACGGGAAGCGTTGGAGTAGGCATTTAAATATAGATAAGAACATGTATGCACTACCAAGGAAACTCCTGCCCTTTCATTTTTTTAAATTCTCCTCTCCACTTTTCTTCCTGTATCTCAAGTTCGAAGGCTAAATTATTATTGACTGTTCGCCGCGTTGAACAATAACCTTGCCGTTATGTATTGAATCTGTGTGAGTTAAAATTGTTGTGTACTCCATTCTTTATATACCTCATGCAAAGACAGGTAGCAGTTGAAAAGTTGCCTGGAAATTTGCTTGTACAAATAAATCCTGCTGTATACTCTTTAAATTCATACCAGGGAAACAATGCTTTAAATTTATCAAGCAAAACAAGTCATCCTTATCCAGTCATTCGCCGCCTCTACGAAACACTGAAAAAATTCGGTGCCTTTGTTTGTCATTCCAATAATTACTGTGTTATTTGATTGAAGACCGAGCAGCATTTTGAGTTGCTTTTACTCCTTGATCACCTTAGCTGAATATCGAGTACAACACACGCCATATTTACTGCTTTTCGCTCGCTTTAGGAACACTCTCGAAGGGTTGGTC